AACTTTTCTAGGCTTTGACTCCGTGTTCTCGCTCTCTCCCGTCTTTATGGACGGTTTTGAGGGTTGCGGCGACGGTTTACTATATCCCAATTGCGCCAAGAGAGCCTCAGCCGCAGCTCTCTTAGCCAATTTTTTGTTAGGTCCGATTCCTTGGGCAGAGTGCTGACCCATTGTCACTTCCATGACAAACTCTCTGCGTCTTGGTGCGCCCTTCTCATCTATTAGATTGTAAACTGGCTCCCTCTCTCGTTTCGCCTGTTGAATCTGAACTAGCCGAGAAACCGGATTGACCTCCTCCGCGGCTTCATTCTCCGCACGAGGCTCTTGATAAACTTTGATTAAGTTTCGAGATTTCTTCTTCGTCGCTGGTGGCTTACGTTTAACTCGCATTGATCGGTTCTGTATGGTAGCCGGTAACGGAGGAAGACGCTTCAGTTCGTCTAACATCAATTCGGCGGCGCGTTTCTTCGATACCTAAGGAAACAGGAATAATACAAGCATTTAAAATTGCGTCATTATTTATCATTCTTTTACATGAAAAATTTGAGAAATTACTTTTTTCGAGGATCCTTCTCCCACAGTAACCTTCTCGCCGACGGTGCATTTTGTCATGAAAGTTCTTATGTGAGGTTTACCACTTTCGGATACGACTTCAAAACTGACTGGCAGTCCACGTTTCAGAGCAGTTTCATGAACAAGAGATACAGGACTTTTCAACTCAGCGTTTGGATCGTCAATGCCACCCAACGTACCGTTCTCGTTAGTATTATTGGTATTTGCGATCTCTTCTGGTAATGGCAACTGGCGTAATTGTTCTAAGGCTCTGCTAGCAGCATCGTGACGTGCAGCTTGGCCTGTTAAACCTCTACCTGTGAACTCGCGTTCACCCACCTTCAGAGTGACAAGATACAATCCCTGAAGATCCGTATGAACTCCACGATTGTACGCGATACGCGGATTGTACATTCGTGGAAAGTTAGCACCGAATCCATGTGGCATAAATTGATGCTGCAATGCAGCTGGAGGAGCTTGTCGGAACGTATAAACAGTTGGTTCACCCCGTTTCATTGCTAATGCGTTCAGTTCGACGGTGGGAGGCAAATGTCCTGTAATCCAAAATAGCACATTTAGAAAGAGCAATTAAATAGTATTGGAAAGATTTGTAGATTTTATAAACATATAGTTGTACATAAATCGACATTATTTTGCATAATTAACATTTACAATTACTTACATTAAGAAAAATAACATTCCAAATTGATATTGTAATATATTATTGCATCACAATTCAATGCATGTAGAATACATAATAATTACCTGAACCTGTTGGACATTTGCCCAGATGGCCAATTCTCATGGCCTTGGTGGGCTTAGGTGGAGGTTGACGATACCAAGTTTTCGTCAATGCTTCGGTCGCTGCGCTATGTTGAGCCTTCTTTATACTAGGACCTTCAGCGACATATTCCTCTTCACCCAGTTTTAGTGTCACTGTGAATCTCTTTTTGTGCGCCGGTCCTTGCTCGTTGGTCAGCCTATATTGATGTTGAATCCTATTGAATCTTGCCAACTCGTTTAACAAACACATAGGTGTTTTTTCTTTCATGTTTGCCAAAGCTGGATTAGTCGCGGCATGATTCTGACCAGATGCATTGTCATCTCTGGACTCTCCATTGGCATCGTTCGTTATCGCTTTCGATTGATCCACATTTGGTTGTTGTGGTACATGCTGCGGCTGTTGTTGCGATTGTGATTGTTGTACTTGCTGTTGTGATGGCTGTTGCTGCTGAGGAGATTGATTCTGCTGATTATTCGGTTGCTGCTGCTGTGGCTGTTGCTGATGTGGATATTGAGGTTGCACATTTTGAAGAGTCACAGAAACTGTATTTGCTTGGTCCTTCATGCTAACGCTAACCATGGTATCTGAAGTTAAATATTTCAAATTAATTATGATAAGAACAAGAATCTAATTTTCATTGTGTACGTGTACTTACTGTTAGTACTGTGCGTATTCATACCCATCAACATTGGCTGTCTTGGATTTCCATGCGGCGGGCCAGGATGCTGCATGTGATGCATATGCTGTTGATGGGGGGGCATGGACAGTATTGGTTGATGTGGATTCCGATGTGGTAACAAATGCTGCGGCTGATGTAGCTGGGGCATGTTAGCCTGCTGCATAGGCCGCATTGGTCCTGCCATTCTATATTCATTTTTATTTGATTACAAATCTTATTAAATAAATTCCTGTTTATATTAATTTTCTATAAGAAATATAGCAAATATGTTTCTATTATATATAAATATATTTAATCTTTTTTTATAATAATTCTCTGAAATAATAAGGAAACAATTTCAACAAATAACAACTTAACAATCTTAATTCTTTAAAAATTTTCTCATATATGTAGACATTACAGCATACAACATATCATTAAACCAATAAACAGAATCATTAAAAGATTTCTTTATCAATTTTTAATCATTTATACAAATATTTACACAAATATAAAATTCTTTATTTCAATTCTACATAAATTCTAAATTCTACAAAAAAATTGTATTCTTAGAATAAACTAATACTTTTTATTTCATTGTCGTAATAACATAATATTTGATTAGAGGATATTAACCTGTTGTGATCTCGAAGCTGATTTTGCATTGCGTGATGTTGATGACGTAACATCTTATGAAAATCTACGTAGACAAACCTGTAAAATGAAAGCACAAATTCAATCCTATTTTAATGTATTTTAGATGACAGAATCGCATGACATATATAAACACATTTAAAGATTTTTATACCTGTGCTATGTAATCAATCGATAAGATAATCAAATTTTCGATCATGTTCAAATATATAATAAATTTGTCTTTTGTATATTGATAAGTCTCACATAGCAATTAGCAGACTATAAACTCTTCTTCTGCTGACTTTGCTAATCAGTGAGCAAGAGTACAAATAAATATTTCATAATTATCAATAAACAAGCAATTAACAATTGATAAACTATACCGTTTGTTGATCTTATTAATCAATAAAGGAGAATACAACTCCGAGCTCTCTCAGTTATTCTAAAAAGGTCTACTTCAAGTTTATGCCTAAAAAAAAGGATCTGCTCCGAAATTTACTCCGAAATGTAGTTTCCAGCGTACGCGCGGTATATCCTCTTTTCCGCATTGAGACGCGAATCGCGAAGTATATAAATTTACAGCGGAAAATCCGATCAAGTTTAGAAGACGTCAAAGACGATAGAAAGTGATAGCAAGACGATATAACCTTCCTGCGGGAAGGGCGAGCCGGTATTACGAGTGGTTTATTACACGAGGGATGCGATCGTCGCGGCCGCGCGCAATTTCGTACGCACGATCGCGTGCTCCGGGTTGCGATCGTCGATCTTTCTATTTCTATAAATAAATTCCGTCTCCCGATGGAATGGGCTTGGTCCGGCGGCGACAACGGCGGCGACGTGCTCATCCGAACAATCGGAGCCACGCCGCGCGTGCGGCACGTACACCCTTTTTGCTCACTTTTCCCCGCACTTACCCGGTCACGTTCGCTCTATTTCGCGGAAATTTAGGGCGTGTCGCGCAACACAGTGAAATTTCCGGCGAAATAGACCCGCTCCGACGAAAACGAACACCGCCAGGCCCTTAGCACGGCTATTGGCAAACAGTAAAGAAAAGTACTCGGTAGACTAAAATGCGGCCATTTTGATGTGGAGCTAGCGGCAGAGCGTGACGTCATCGATCACATTCTGACCGACGATGGGTACACAACTTGTGAGGAACAACAGAGATAATTAATGCGATAAAAGAAATCAAAAACCTCTTTGTTGATTCCCTTTAAGTCTCTCTCTCTCTCTCTCTCCTTTTGATCGCATTTGAAAAAGGTAAACACACTTTCTTTCCTATGACTTTTGCAACCGTTCGAAAAGCTGTTTATATATAATTGCGATTGTTGAGAAATCGCTTATAATTGTACGCAGAACGGAACGGTTGAAGTTGTGTTTATGTGCGTATTTAAACTGTCTAAAGAAATTTAAATTAATGCGTGACACATTATTTATCACATTTATGGTAAATAATGTGATAAATAATAAATTGATGAGATAAGAATTTTTATAATATAAGTACGATTAATCTTTATTCTTTGCATCTAAAATTACAAAAATAATATACAATAATATAATTTACAAAATATAAATATATTATAAAATATTGCAAAATATTAATATTTTGTAAATATTGTGTTGTCTGAACTTTTATCAGTTTTAAAATATCGGTTTTTTTCTTATCTCCTAATACACATGATTGAGTCATTTGAACGAATACCATCATGTATTCAGTATATATTTGTCTCTTTAAAATATTAGAACTACTTATAACTAAATAATGATCTATATTTTTTTCCTAAAAACACATTGGCATGTAAAATTAAAGCAAATGTATTTTTGTTGGTCAAACAGATGCCAGCATAATCCTCTTGTATCAGTATTTATTTGATTTTAGGAATGAATAACATTTATATAATAATATAAATAAATATTAATAATGTAAATAACTCTTTTTTATAAAAACATGTTTTGACATATATATTGTATATGTAATGTATATTATTTTATACATTTATTTTTATTTTGCATAAGAAATACATATGTTGTAATATAAATATATTAGATATTGTAAACAATTTGAATCTTAGTTATTATCTGCTTTTTTTAGTATAGTAATAAATGTCTGCATAATTCCGATGTCTAATAATTATACATTTAAAAAATTAAAACCGTAATAAAAAAAAATCTAATAACCCTTTTATTATATAATACTAGCTTTTTAAGGTCTCGGTTTATACGTGTCACTGAAAAAAATCTGAAAATCATGTTAGTTCGAATAAAATTGATGATCAATATCGAGATGTCGAGACCCTAAAAAGGATCGTTTCAGATGTTTAGATTTTCAAGTTTGTTGTCTCTTAAAATTCTTCAAAATAGAATATCTTGAAGAATTTTAAGAGACAACAAACGGCGGTAATTTGACCATACATGGTGGCTCATTATTCTTAATAAGCCAAATTGATCCATTTTTACCCATTTGAATTATCATGACTATAGATTGTGCCACATGCACCGCACTGTAACAAATATATTATGTTTCAGAAAAGATATTAATATAATTTTCATGTTATTTTTAGTAATGATATAATAATAATATTAATTAATAATTAATAATTAATATTATTAATAATTAATATTATTAATAATAATAATATTAATGATTCTCTT